ACAACCTCCACTTCCCGGGTTCAAGTGTTCTCCTGCCTCAGCCGCCCCAGTAGTTGGGACTACAGGCATGCAACACCATGCCTAGCTAATTTTTGAATTTTTAGTAGAGACAGGATTTCACTATGTTGGCCAGGCTGGTCTTGAACTCCTGACCTTGTGATCTGCCCACCTCTGCGTCCCAAAGTGATGGGATTACAGGCATGAGCCACTACGCCTTGCCAGAAACTCTTTAAAAAATAAAATGTTTGTTTGCTTGTAATGACATGAAATCAAGTTTCTAATCACTGTATGTTTAACAAGAAACCATTCCCTCATAATTTCAAGGGGGAAAAAACACGCTTTAGTTGTGGCATTTCAGAACTGTAATACTTCCAAATTTAAACATCTTTTGTATTTGAAGGTGTTTTATTACTATCCCAATTGAGTTAATAATCTCCTTTATCTAGTAAATCTCCTGTATTTCTCTAAAAGTTAAATAAACTTGATAAGAATAGTCAATCCTCAGAAATATACCATTAAAAACACATACTGGGACATATACTTTGCTGAAAGCTATTACCTTTCAAACTAAGTGTTCAGTTGTGTTTCATGATTTTAAAAAAAGTAGATAAAAGCATTACTTCCCAAGTACCTCCACTTTATAAAAATAAGTGGAGACTCAGAATTGCCTGTGTTTATTTCTGTATTCTCACTCATATTCGTGAAACTTAACAGCCAATATGGTTGACTGCTGTTGGTCAAGACCTAAGAATGATAGAGAAACCATTTGATTTTCAAAAACATCCACTTCAGCAGGCTATTACATAACTACATGTTCACAGTTAAATTCATAAGAGATTAAGGGAAACTAGTAATAGCTGAGGGCAGTTTGTTTTCATGAAGATAACAGATGTCAGCAAAAACTTAGGCAGTGTCATGAATTTTGCACAAGAATGTTAAGCTATAAGCAGGGCAACCATAGCGGAGGTAGAAAATCTCTACCAAAATCAAGTCCAGATAACCATCAGTTTTCTATACTGTGACTCAATGTGTAATCACCTTTTGGAGGTGGAGTGAGTCTATGAGGCCAGTGGGATCTGATGTTTCAGGGCAGTCATAGCTCTTCTCAAGGACTGAACTGTTCTGGTTTTGTTTTTCTTTAAAAGAGCCATCCACAAGACTATTTAACAAACCAATCGACACTTTAGCCAACCTCGACTGAAAAAATAAAATGGTTTACAGAATATTTCATACTACCTAGGCACTCTAACGCATGTTCAGGAATTCTGAACATGGATATTTGTGAGTACATGAATGCAGGTATTTTTCTGGGAAGTTAGTTCAGAGTCTTCATCACCTTCTCACAGGCGTCTTTAACTTCCAAAAAGTTAAGACCATAATAAAACTCACTACAATTATTTTCTTATTAATAAATCATTATGGGTATTTCAAAATTCACTTGCTAAAAATTACTTGCTTGAAACCATGCCAGGTAAGCAGTTTTAGAATAGACTGTCAGGTTGTAGAACAGCATGTTATATAGAACTAAACACAGTATTTTAAAAATAGAAGAATCCTGTATATGTTACAAGGTAAATAGCTATTTCCATATTTGTAAAAAAAAAAAAAAAAAAATCTAACATTTTATTCAAATATATACATGCATTTCTACCTTAATATTTGTGATCAACATTGTGTGAGACCAACATATGTAATCTAACTTCTCTACTAGCATCTATATACAAGAGAAACTGTTTATAAAACCTTGCTTTTTAGATTAATAGAATTTTAAAATAATTTAGTCACTTGGAATATTTAGGCACAATATAAGGAAGCTCTAAATGATTTTATTTATATTGGTTATTTCTGTAATTTTATATTACAAAATAGTAAGTAGGCTCATTAATTTTTCCAAAACATAGCTTTATTACAGCTTTACTGTAAATCAGATATATTTTTCTCTGTACACATTTTGTATGCTCATTAAAAGTTTGGTTCCCTAAATGGGTATGAACAAATATTGGCAAAATTGTTCAAGAATATTTTCCTTTGAAAAACTTATTACTATGCCTTTGAAAAATAACAGGTCTACGAAATACTGCAATATGGCAATTTTAAAGTCACTTATTCCATAACAAATATTCCTATTTTAAGTAAAAAACCTAAGATTTTAATTTGTCCCTATGAAAAGCCTAAGCAATGTCATACTTAGAAAAACTGAAAGATGGCAGAACTAATGAAGATCTAACGATCCTGATGTTCAGATAAAACTGGAGTGTTTATATTCTCAATAACAAAATATTTCCTTAGAGAAAAGAAATCTAGCATCTGACTTAAGTGAATAAAGCTGAAACAGTATTTTTGCCAGTGCTCAGGTAAATCACACAGATCAAGGAAGCTAACTGTACTTCTGATAACAGGTGAGTGAACAGGTGAATGTACAATCAAAACTTAAAAATGATATGTAATTCCAAAGTTGAACATGCCATTCCCTCAAACTAAAAGCAATCATTTAAAAAACATAAAAACAAACAAACAAAAACTCTCTAATGGTCAATTCAAACTGGCTGTATAAACTGAGTTTTAATGGCTACAAAATCTTTCAAATTGCTAACAGCACAACTGATTAAACTGAAGGACTGTATTTGGGGTGGGAAAAAAACCCCAAAACCTAGTTCAGTGGCAATGTCCTATGGGACAAAAAGCTTTTAGACAAAATGACAGCTGTCTTTAAAAAAGGGCAAAGAGGCCGGGCGCGGTGGCTCAAGCCTGTAATCCCAGCACTTTGGGAGGCCGAGGCGGGTGGATCACGAGGTCGAGAGATCGAGACCATCCTGGTCAACATGGTGAAACCCCATCTCTACTAAAAATACAAAAAACTAGCTGGGCGTGGTGGCGCGTGCCTGTAATCCCAGCTACTCAGGAGGCTGAGGCAGGAGAATTGCCTGAGCCCAGGAGGCAGAGGTTGCGGGTGAGCTGAGATCATGCCATTGCACTCCAGCCTGGGTAACGAGAGCAAAACTCCGTCTCAAAAAAAAAAAAAAAAAAAAAAGGGCAAAGAGATGATACCATTTCCTCATCTTCCAAACAGCATCCAAGCAAATTCCATCAAGATGCAATCAATTTCCAAGTCATTTATTTATACTCTATATTAACCAGTGCATCTTTTTCATCATCACTCCCTAAGGAGTCTTTTCATAATCCTAATCAACCACCTCCCAAATTTTAATACCAGGTATATTATCTGTTTATGTACAGTGTGTATATTCATGCTTTGTAGATTTTTTTTTGTCCCCCAGAACCATTTTGACAAGGAGCGCGTGGTGCAAACAATGAAAGGTTTATAGTATTAACATGTTTTTATTTGACTAAGTGGGGAGAAGAGAAATATATTTCAGCACTTAGATATGTAGATTATTTCCAAAATAGTTTAACACTCAACTAGTCAGTTCTGTCGAATCAGTTTTCCCCGAAGCAGGCATTGTTCCCAGGTACAAGCAGTCCTCATTTTGCAGGGTATTGTGGGACCATAAAAATGGCCATGCAAAACAATCTTAATAATCAGTGGGGAAAATGACTGTTCCGTGACCTTTAAACTTCTGCTAAAACATTAAAAACTCTTAAGATCACTTGTAAATGTAGGAAAAAAATGCAAAAAAGTTTAAAACTATTTATGTAGTACACTGTAATTTAAAACATTAGAAATAGAATTAAACTGTTTTATTTCATTGTAGAAACTAAGTAGTTTGAATAGGGCTTGCCTTTTCTTCTGCCAAGTAACTTAATGGTACTGAGTAAGCATCCCGTCTATTCATGGCAAACTGTCATACCACCTTTTTTAAGTTTGGGTCAGCTTCCCCCCTTTTACTGCTTGTGCTTTTGAAATATTTCTGTATTCACATTAAATATTCCTTAATGCATTTTTCCTCTTCCTTTGGGACATATTTTTTTTTTCCTGTTGCCGAGGCTGGAGTGCAGTGGTGCGATCTCGGCTCACTTCAAGTTCTGCCTCCTAGGTTCAAGCGAATCTCTTGCCTCAGCCTCCGAGTGCTGGGATTACAGGCATATGCCACTATGTCAAGCTAACTTTTTGTATTTTTAGTAGAGACGGAGTTTCACCATGTTGGCCAAGCTGGTCTCCAACTCCTGACCTTGTGATTTGCCCACCTCAGCCTCCCAATTATGTGGCCCACCTGTAATCCTTGGCTCATGGATTACAGGTGTGAGTCACCGCGCTGGGACACATTTATCTTTATTGCAACCACTTTTCTTACATGTACTGGTAAGTTTGCCTTCACTAAGCTCCTATGAATGCACAGCAGCAGGAACAACATTCCCATGATCAGTGACTTCTACAAATCCATTTATGTTTGATTCAAATTTCACTTCCAGTGTTACCATTTTTCGTTGCTTTGCTGCACTTTGATCTTTGTTGGCTGATTGTTCCCTTCTATAAAATGTCAAGTGGATGACAAAAAGACAGCATAACTACATGCTCTGCTGTGAGTGAACTGAGTACCAGATGCACAGGGACCAGCCACTGGAAGAATTTGAAAAAAGTAACATGACTGGTCACTGATCATGAAAAATATCTGTTATTTACATAGTGATCTGTAGACTGAAGAACTAGCAGAGAAGTTTGTAACTCATGTAATTACTCATAGTTATACTGTGCTAACTAAAATTTTAACTTAGATTTAAACACCACCAGTTTCCTTTCCTTCCTGGTAAGGAAACTGGTGGTGTTTAAATCTAGGTCATTGAAATCTGTGCCCATGGGAACCATGCAAAGTGAGGACTGCCTACATCCTACTTGTTTATACTGATCCAGACAGGCTTAACACTGACTACTGAGAAACAGCCTATCTAAATTTATATCATATAATGAATCTTAAAGCATCCAAGATGAAAAATTACTGCACATTGAGGTGGTTTAAAAATCTCTGTCATTTGACAATGAAGCTTAAAATGTATCTTAGAGTAACAGAATTTTAGAAATAAGGACCTTCAAAGGCCCCATAGTTTGATACCACAGGTTATCCAGCATGTTTATTATGAATTATTTCTCCTCCTTCAATTTCAATTTGCTCATACAGCCACTTGCGGTCACAGCGGCATTCAGCTCCACACTTGGTAGAACCACAGGCAGGACAAGCGTAGAAACATCCTAAGCAATCTTCATCGAGGCAGTCACAGAGGTCCATCCCACTAAAAATGAGGAGCCCCTGGCTATCATAGACCTTACTCTTCGCTGGTATCACCTGTCTGTAAAATAAAACACAATGAATTATACCTCATAAATACGTTATTTTTTATTTAATTGAAAATACGGTACAAAAAAATTAAAGGAGATAAAATATTTTGAGAGGAAGTCCTGCCAAAATGATCTATCATTTATCAGGCTCAAGCCTTATTCTATCATCAGCAGTAAATGAACTCCATGTGAGAAAAGGAGACGTAACTCTAGAGTGTTGAGATAAATCCAAAAAGTCTAACGTGCCTCCTGAAGTCCATTTAAAAGTCACCTCAGCAAAGGAATGAACAAAAGCTTTGTCCAAAAAGTAAGTATAATTTCCCCTTTACTTTAAACAAATGAAAAAGAATGATGGGTTAATAGTGGTTCATTTTATTGGCCACCAATCTCTTCACTGTTTTATCAACGTAGTTTTATTTGTATTACAGTATGCTGCCCCTATAGATTTTTACAGTGCAATTAATGTTTTTTTGTTCTTTAATGGACTCTAGTAAATTTGGCCTAAAAATTTTATATGACTCTATGGTAAGGCATATACAGAAATGTTGACTGAACTTAAAAATAATTCAGATTATGCTAACATTTGTTTTAAAGAGTCATTTATAAACAATTAAATTCTCCATTCATTCTGCTGACTACACAGAACTGCATTTCTATCTCAGACATGTAAAAACTAAAAACCTTGCATTCTCATAAAATAATTACCTTTAGCTAGCACCCACAGAACAGAGATACATGAATTACAGGCACACTTCAGAGGTATTGTGGGTTTGGTTCCAGACCACCACCAATAAAGTGAGTCACATTTTTTTTTTTTTGGCTTTTCCAGTGCATATAAAAGTTAAACTTACACTATAGAGTAGTCTATTAAGTATGTAACAGCCTTCTATCTAAAAAAAAAAGGTACGTACCTTAACTTAAAAATCTCTATTGCTAAAAAATGCTAACAGTCATCTGAGCCTTCAATGAATTGTAGTTATTTCTGCTGGCGGATGATCTTGCCCCAATGAGGACAGCTGACTGATCAGGGTGGTAGTTGCTGAAGGCTGGGGTAGCTGCGGCAATTTCTTAAAATAAGACTACAGTAAGGTTTGCTGCATCAGTGGACTCTTCTTTTACAAAAGGTTTTTCTGTAGCATCTGATGGGTGTTTGATAGCATTTTACCTACAGTAAAATGTTCAAAATTGGAGTCATCCTCTCAAATTCTGCTTCTGCTTTATCTACTAAGTTTATGTAATCTAAATCCTTTGTCATTTCATTAATGTTAACAGCATCTTTACCAGTAGATTCCACCTCAAGAATTCACTTTCTTTGCTCATCTAAGAAGAAACTCCTCATCCATTCAAGTTTTATCACAAGATTGCAATAACTTAGTCATATCTCCAGGTTCCACTTCTAAATCTACTTATCTTGCTATTTCCACCACAATTACTTCCTCCACTGAAATCTTAAACCCCTCAAAGTCATCCGCAAAGATTGGAATCAACTTCTTCCAAAATCTTGGATGGTGAATACTTTCCACAAGGTGTTCAATTTACTTTGCCCAAATCTATTGGAAGAATCACTCACTGTCTATGGCAGCTCTGGCCTCCCAAAACGTATTTTGTAAATAACAAGACTTGAAAGTCAAAGTCCTTCTTGATCATGAGCTGCAGAATGAATGTCACGTTACCAGGCACGAAACATTTATCTCCTGGGACATCTCCATCAGAGCTCTTGAGATCCGGAACATTTTCAATGAGTAGCAATATTTTGAAAGGAATCCTTTCTTCTTCTAGTCAGGAGGTCTGTCAAGTGGGCTTAAAATATTCAGTGAACCATGCTGTAAACAGATATGCTGCCATCCAGGTTTTTCTGTTCCATTTATACAGCAGAGGTAGAGTACATTTAGCATCATTAGGACTCTCGGATTTCTGAAGAGGTAAATAATTGGCTTCAACTTAAAGTCACCAGCTGCATTAGTCCCTACCAAGAGAGTAGGCCTGTCCTTTGAAGACTTGAAGCCAGGTATAGACTTCCACTGTCTAGCTATGAAAGACAGCATCTTCTTCCATTGGAAGGCTGTTTGTTGGTCTGTAATCCCAGCACTTTGAGAGGCCGAGGCAGGCAGATCATGAAGTCAGGAGATGGAGACCATCCTGGCTAACTGATGAAACTCTGCCTCTACTAAAAAGACAAAAAGTTAGCTGGGTGTGGTGGGCACATGCCTATAGTCCCAGCCACTCAGGAGGCTAAGGCAGAAGAATACCTTGAACCCAGGAGGTGGAGGTTGCAGTGTGCTGAGATCGTGCCACTGCACTCCAGCCTGGGCAAACAGAGCAAGACTGTCTTAAAAAAAAAAAAAAAAAAAAAAAAAAAGGCAGCTGTTTGTCTACACTGAAAATCTGTTGGGTAGTGTAGCCAGCCACCTTCATCAATTACCTTAGCTAGATCTTCTGGATAACGTGCTGCTTCACCTTGCATTTTTATGTTACGGAGATGGTTTCTTTCCTTGCCCTACTCATAAACGAACCTCTGCTAGCTTCAAACTTTTCTTCTGAAGCTCCCTCACTTCTCTCGGCCTTCTGAGAACTAAAGAGGGTTAGAACCTTGCTTTGGATTAGGCTTTTGCTTAAGGGAATGTGTTATAGCTGGTTTGATCTCCTATCCAGACCATTTAAAGTTTCTCCATATTAGCAATAGAGCTGTCTTGCTTTCTTATCATTTGTGTTCACTGGAATTGTACTTTTAATTTCCTTCTTGAACTTTTTATTTGCATTCACAACTCTGCTGTTTAGTGCAAGAGGCTCTGCTTTTGGCCTGTCTCAGCTTTTGACATGCCTTCCTCCCAAGCTTAATCATTTCTAGCTTATTTAATAAAATGACACACTTGACTCTTCATTTCACTTGAACACTTAAGAGGCCACTGCAGTGTTATTAGTTGGACTAATTTCAATATATTTGTTTCTCAGGACATAGGGACACCAGAGAAGAGAGAGAGAGAGTCTAGGGAACAGCCAGCAGGTGGAGCAGTAACACACACAGCATTTATCAACTAAGTTCACCACCTTACATCGGTGTGGTTCCTAGTGACTCGAAACAATGATAATACTAACACCAAAGATCACCATAACAGATATAGTAATGAAACAGTTGGAAATATTGCAAGAATTATCAAAATGTGACAGAGATAGAGAGTACATGCTGTTAGAAAAATGACACCAGTAGACTTGCTTACCACAGAGTTGCCATAAACTTTCAATTTGTTAAAAAAAAGAAAAAGCACCTTGTAGACAGCAATAAAGTGAAGCACCAATAAAATGAGGCATGCCCATATATAGTAACAATGCTTTTCAAATAAGTGAATTATCTTAATTGTAATTATTTTAACTCTCGTGCCAAAATTATTGTCTTCAGTTTATTGCTACCTTCTTAGAAACAAAGTTTTGGAGTTGACAGGGATACCTTAATTTTATACGAATAAAAACAAAGTCCTTCATAGGTTTTTACTAATTCCAAATTATCCAATTTAAAATATAAACCCAGAAAATTCAAAATTTAAGAGAAAAATAGGGGAATAATACAGATGTGAAGCAGCAAGCTAACACGTCTTCAGTAACAGCCTACCTGTCTGAACCAGCGGTCACATTTTTTGTAAGTCTTCTTTTTTCTCTTTTACCAGTTTCTGGAGCAAATTCAGTTTGCCTTCCTGGATTTGTAAATTGTAACGACCTCAAGGCTTTTGCAGTTCTTCCCTGAAGAAACGTTAACAAATTATCAACTCAAGTCTGGACATCAGATGATAGATTAATGTTTTATTTAATGTTAAAACAAGATAACTCCCTAACCTGGAAGACAGTCTGGGAACACACAAAAAAGAAAACAAGGGCAAGAAAATTCACATGGTCCTAGACCATCTTCAAAACGTACTGGTTAATGTATTCGTAACGTTTCCATTATTTGATTTTAGTCTCTGGTGTATTAGAAGCAGAGGAGGAAGGTATTTTGAAAACTACAATGGCTGCTGCCAACAGAGGCGAAAAGGCACGAAACAGGCTGTATATCCCTGTGGCACATAACAGATTTCCTAAAATTCTTGGGTCCTTATTATTGTATTTTATATATTTCTAAGAGCAGAGAATATGATTTCAAGTTCTAGAATAATATTATAATATTTTAAAAAATCTTTGGCAAAAGGAAATTTTGGTGTTTACGGGTTTATGTTTGTTATTTGGGGAGGAAAGACCCTCAGTTGATACATTCTACAAGAACGTTGGGTAGATAAGGTGAAGACATCTACAGTGACACTATCAGCCAAGTATCTAGTATGAATTGCAGATAAATTGGGCCCTAAAGATGTGCCACTAAAAAGAGAACAACAGGAAAACAGTATCATTTCAAATTTCAACTATCTTTTAACTTGTTTTAATAAGAAGGAGAAAACTGAGAAAAGTATTCCAGCAGTAAGAATTATGAAATCATTAAAAGTAAAAATTCTGAGAAGTGCTTCTTTGACATACTTTTCCTAAACAAAACATGGCTTTATGAAATCTTAAGTTGTTCTGATACGTTTAAATATGCATATAGGCATGTAAATAAGGAATACACGTAAAATATTTAATACTTTACAATGTAAAAATGTATTTTTTTTTTTTAACCACAGGGAGTCCTAAAATTAGCCTTGACCATATCAAGTAGGAATTCAGAGCTAGAAGCAAAGGAAACTCACAAGCATTTAAAAATCTCAAAAATGGCATCGTGTCAAAGGAGAAAGAGTGAAATAAAAAACAATTACTGTGAAATCACCTCTCCAATGTTCCTTTTAAAGGAATGATTTTCAAGTCCTTCATAAAAAGGGGAATTCATCCTGCTACAAAGACCCTTGCTGGTTGCCATGTCCCATGTAGTTATACTTTGGTATCAGAAAAGAAACTAAATCTTGGCTTTGCCAGAATGCTCTCAAACCTACTCCTAAAGTCTTAGCACTAAAAGTTGTAGCTTAGAGTCTAAGGCATATTTTATTATTCCTTTTACAGGCCTACTTCCTTCACTCCCCAGTCTTGACCTTCAGTATATGTAAACCACATTTAGAAACATCATCCACTTTCCCCCTCCTTTTAATTCACTGTACGCTAACAAATACAGTAATACTGTAAATATAGCTTCCTCACAGTTAAGCAAAATCTTACATGGTAGAAATCACATAGTAGAAAAAATAACTGCTATACATACATCTGACTCAGGTTTCCTTCTCTGGCGGTCTTCAGTATCAACATCCACACTTCCGTTGATTATCTGTGTGCATTTTGGACAAAGCTTCCAACCAGGTACAAGCTGTCTTCCGAATTTCGCACTCAGAAAAGTGGCATCATCTAAGTCAATTACATGCAAATTCTTTTTTGCTAGTTTTTTGTGTATGTTAAATGGGTCACAACATGACTTCTGTAAATCCTCAAATCTGTCAATGTAAATTTTTACATGATGAAAGCAAATTGTATTGTTCCCAGAAAGTGTCATTCCAGTTCTAAGTTGAAGTAAAAGCATATCATTTGATGACAATTCTTGCAAAGTCTTAAAACCTGTGTGACGAGTATAGTATGTTTTATGGCACTCATTTGTAGTACGAAGCTGGACTCCAACTGAACATGGATCCATCATTCTTGATTCTAGCAAATTTTCCCTGCTTTATTTTGTCTAGAGGTCTAGGTCATGGGCTGATCACCCTAGAGAAAATATTAAAGAGAATCAAATTTGCACTGCAAGTTTATCTAGGAAACTGAAAAAGCATTTGATAAAATTCAACACTCATCTAAAAGAAAATAAGGGGAAAAAAGAGTTATTTACCAAAGTCCTATTATAAACATTTAATAATCAAACAGAAGCATTCCCCATAAAGTCAGAACTTCACTAGAACACCTGCTATTACAGATATTTAGGACCATATTAGAATTAAACAGGAGGAAATAAGAAATATTATCCAAAGATGATATCAACATCTACATGAGAAATATAAGAGGTTTAACAAACTATTTGAACTAGTAAGAGAATTCACCAGGGATGCTACAAACCAAAAAACACTGTATCTTACAAAATATGTGAATCTTACAAAAGACACACAACAAGACCTTCGTGGAGAAAATTATCAAACTGAAAGATAAAAATCAATACCCTAATAAATGCAGCTATATATAATGGAGTGCTTCACTACAAGAAATACATCAATTCTCCAGGAATTCATCTATAAACTCAGTGCTATTCCAATCAAAGTTCCATCAGATATTCTACTCCCACCCCCTTGGAATTTAGTAAGCTGGTCTAAATGAAAGAATAAAGTTCTAAGAAAGCCAAGATAATGTTGTAGGAAAATACAGTAAGATACTGTACTATAAACCTATTCTAATTCAAACTGTGGATTGGTATAGTATAGACAAACAGATCCATGAATAGATGAGGGCTAGGTAAATGACACGTGATACTGTTTAATCAATAGGTATCACACATTAATGTAGAAGGGAATTTAACCAGTTAACTATATGGAAAAAGATCTCTTCTGCACAAACAAAAATCAATTACAGGTAGATTAAAGAATTAAACATGAAAAGAAAAACTAAACATGTTTATGAGAAAATAAAGAATGTTTTGTGACATGGGAGAGGGAAGAATTTCAAACAAGCAAGCAAGTACCAAAAAGAAAAAAAAGACGGATACATTTGATTATATGTACAATTTACACATTTCTGTATAACTAAAGGAGAAAACAATGACACTTGAAAGGCATTGTTAGGATTATTATTGCAAATATTCAAGTAACTCCTCACTTCTAAAAATCAATTAGAAAATGACAGTCCACTGGAAAACTAGACAAATATAGCTATGCAATTCACAGAGAAAGAGAACAAAAGCCAATACATGCATACAAACTCTTTCCATCATAGTTCCTAGGAAAATGCAAATTAAATATCATTTCTTAAACATTTGCTTGAAATCAATTTAAAAATCTGATATCTGGTTAAGATGTGGCAAACTCTTAGGTGCTCCTTATAATAACTTTGGTAGGAATGTAAATTGCTGCAACTGTTTTAGAATGTTTTTGGCAATTTCTTATAACACTGAGGAAGCACGTACCTTGGGACTGAGCTCTTTTCAGTTTTGGGTGTCAGTTGGAGAAAAATACCTCCAATGTGAGCACAAGTTATAACTTTCAGCACTCACTAAGAAAGATGACAACTTAATTGCAAAGGATGTGAAGTTGTTACTCATACAAAGGACTCCTACATGTTACAACAGTTAAAATGAATAAACTACATGAATTACATGAATAAATCTCAAAGACAATCTTAAGTGAAAAAAGTTGCAAAGGTTATATAGTATCATCATTAAAGGTAAAATTTTTAAAAATAAGATAGTATGTAAGATTTATAGATGAAATGTGAATACATACTAAAATAAACATGAGTGATACTTCTTAGGGGAAAAAACATTCCCCCCTCCTCACAAAATTTACAGAAAATAAGGCTTGGTGACATGTACATAGTGCCTCACTACTGTCCACAGTTTCTATTTGAAATTTTTCATAAATATTTTTCAAAGTAAATAAACAAAACTAATTTGAATTCTCAAGAAAAGATGCAATCAATGCAAGTCATTAGGAAAAAAACTGCTATTGAGAAAAGATGTGAACCACTGAAATCTGAGTGGTACTACTGTGAAATCTGGGATTCAGCAATTTCACAAGTGTTTTTAAGCTTGGAGCCAAATTAAAAAAAAAAAAAAAAAACTGGAGAGAAATCTTAAACACTTTTTGATATGGTTTCTTCAGAGAATAACAATCAGCAAAATTATATAAAAAGACCCTGGCCTCAGGTAACAAAAAATGGTGAATAAATGTCTGCGTTTTAAGTCAAAATACTATATTTAGAAAGTTAAAAAATAAAATACACTTCGCAGTGTTAAAAAATGTTATGGAACATTTTAACTGAAAAAATGTTTTAAAGCTGATTAAAACAGAGTATATTTATATTCATTTATTCTGTTTTAGCCAGATTTTTACAGTGAACAATATAGGCCCCAGTCAAATCAGATAAAATGGCTTCTATCACAGTATTAGAAAATTTTTTTCTAGCCAGGAGCTGTGGCTCCGCCTATAATTCCAGCACTTTGGGAGGCTGATATGGGTGGATCACTTGAGGGCAGGAGTTCTAGGCCAGACTGGCTAATACAGGGAAACCCCATCTCTACTAAAAATACAAAAATATTAGTCGGGTGTGGTAGTGCAGCTACATAGGAAGCTAAGGCATAAGAATCTCTTGAACCCAGGAGGCGAAGGTTGTGGTGAGCCAAGATTGCATCACTGCGCTCCAGCCTGGGCAACAAAGTAAGACACTTGTCTCAAAAAAAAAAAAAAAAAAAGGTTTTTTTTCTTCAAATAGATAATTGAGTTAAGATAAATTAAGGAGGAAAAAAAAGCAAACCAGAGGTAAAGTTGCAAAACAACAAATTGTGGGAATGTATCTTAGCAAATAAGAGATACAATCTGGCTCTGACTTTTCTTAATAGTCAATACAAGGGAAACTAGATCAACTATTCCTCAGCACTGTACAGAAAATGCTTAGTATCTTGTTAATGCCACAGATTCTTTATGTTTGTAGGTAACTATCACCAATTTTTAGCCACAGATCTATAATGGAATTTTTTTTTATCATAAAGCTATTTCCTAGTATTCACAACTTGGGCTACTTCAGCCATAACTGATAGGAAAAGCATCTTGGATTCAGGAATATAATTACTTTAGAAACCGTATCTGTCCATAGTAGTAATACACTGTGACCCTTTAGGCTAATTTCATTTACCCTATTAATTTTAATTTTAGGTAAAAAATTCTTTTCCTTAGTTATTAGGGAGTCTCTGTTCCATTAGTTTCCTTTAATCCTGACTAAATTACTACAAAATTCACAAGAATTCATCATGATTAAAGGAAGCTAATGGAACAGACTCTGTAACTTGTGTCAGTGAAGTTGAATACCTATTTCTGAAATTCCTGGCCTCAAGTGATCCTCTCACTTCAGCCTTCTGAGCAGGTGGGTCCTGTGATTTGTTTACAGGAAGTTCAGGTTTTTCTTAGTAACAGGCAGGACACTGAGCTGGCACCAAAGAAAGATCTCTACTTACTAGATGTAGAAAATGGGGTCACCAGATTTGGCAAATAAAAAACTCAGGATGTCCTGTTAAATTTGAATTTCAGACAATGAATTACTCCTTTACAGGATCAGCTCATTTTAAAATTAAAATATCCTATCAGATAAAAGACATTGTCAACCGTGATAAAAACTAAATTTTACACAGATTAAAACATAGCAGCAAACTAATCCCACTCGCTTGAGTAAAAGTGCTCACACCTAAGTCAAGGTAGTTCTATATTTAGTCTTCCATAGGTCAGCTTTCTGATCTACAATTAGGCAATTCATTCAGGTACTGTGGAAGAGTCCAAGTCCAGCCAGCTCAAGGCACACTAAATTTCAGACACTGATCATAAGTGGTCACTGTCTGCCTTCTAAAAATTACACCGTCTGGTTGCTGCTCCTCTGTTATATTCCTCAATGTCCTCATTTCTAGCTCTTTCTGTCTCCCTCCTATAAGCTAAAGTTCTGCTGAAGAGCTCTTTGGGTCTGTTTCCTAGCAACTGTTTTTGCTCATTTTGGTCTGTGTTCTGGCAATGTGGCCTACAATTTATATTTTATTTTCTTCAAATGAGAGTCCAGCAACTTCATGTTGTTCCTTTTACCTACAGTACAGTGCTAAGTTCCTCCATAAGGATGATTTACCTGGCCCCTTCCTTAATTAACATAGCCGGAAATGCATTACTATTTACTACCCCTGAATCAGCACTGGCATCAGCTGAGACCTCAGTAGAAATGCAGAATCTCAGTATCAGCCCCAGACCCAAAGAATCAGGATTTGCATTTCAAAAAAGATCCCCAGGTGATTTTTAAGCACATTACAGTTTGTCAGGTACTGCTTCAGATAATTCAATTTAAAAAATTTAAATTTGAAATGTTTTGATATCTTCTATATTTTATAGGCAATGAATTACTTCTGTTTTTTTTTTTTTTTTTTTTTTTTTGAGGAGGAGTTTCGCTCTTGTTACCCAGGCTGGAGTGCAATGGCACGATCTCAGCTCACCGCAACCTCCACCTCCTGGGTTCAGGCAATTCTCCTGCCTCAGCCTCCTGAGTAGCTGGGATTACAGGCACACACCACCATGCCCAGCTAATTTTTTGTATTTTTAGTAGAGACGGGGTTTCACCATGTTGACCAGGATGGTCTCGATCTCTTGACCTTGTGATCCACCCGCCTCGGCCTCCCAAAGTGCTGGGATTACAGGCTTGAGCCACCGCGCCCGGCTACTTCTGTATTTTATAGAAGATATCAAAAAAGAATAAGAAAAACACAGATATGTATCTGCGCTACAGGAACTCTAACCTAGGGAAGATTATTGGGAGACAGGAGGTTTAAACTGGATGCACTAAGGACAGACAAAAACATGTGCCTCAATAGAAAACTGCACTGTTGAGAGCACAGCCTTTCAGGTTTTCACATTCCGATTATATGGAAGTCTGATTCTTTCAGCATCTTGGAGCAATTTTACAACTGTCAACTGTAGATAACCAACAGCAGTGCAAAATACTTGTGTGTATTCTTGTGAATTCTATCTGGTGAAGGTTCAATGGACTTCCGTCTCACCGTGGAAACAGCCAATTTTGCCTTTACTTGCACATTTATTTCAATATTCATGCTCTATAAGCATGTCTACCTTTTATTGTCAGTTAAACTGGTTATAGCATCTTACCAGTTCCTATGTTAATAATCTTTTAACACAAGAAAAGATTTACTTGCTCCAGTCAATCATTTTGGTCAGTATAAAACCTAGTATTCGTCATAGGAGAAGAAAAAAAATCCAGCTTCTTATAACAATCAAATCAATAACCAAAACCCCAGTCTTCGAAATTCACCGTGGTATAAATAAAATCCAAGTGTTCAATACTTTTCAATGCAAATAACAAAGATGCTTTTTGACAAGCTGAATTTGCTTGAGTCCTGTGCTGGTTCTTTATTAGTCATAATTTAAAAAATCCTCCCACCCTTGAGTTAGGTAAGACTCAAGGATACCTCCTTGTTTACCTATGACCAGGCAAGAGAAAGGCCCTCCGAATTCCCATTTTTTGCTTCAATTATGAATTTATGAATAATATGCTAAGCTGCTTGGCCCTACAGATCAAATGGAACAAAATACTTGTTAATCGAACTTTAGTTTCTCTCCCTCCCCCAGGTCGCTGAAGTTTGGCCAACTCTCAGCCAGAGCCAGCGAATAAGTTTCTCAGATCTACTATTAGATTAAGCCACCCTTATATCCTACTTCCTCACACCAATTCTTTCTAGCAAGTTCACTCCTTGAAGACTCTTGCAGATCTTTTGGTTCTACCCATTGCAAAAGTCCCTTTTCTCCTCCTGCAATAACCCTTTTGAATAAAGTTTCTCCTAAGTCTGGATTTCTTATTTGACATTGTATTTTAAAAATTCTGCATAGGAGAAAATTCAGACTTTCCCCTGCCTTAGGATTGACATCACTTTAGTGCTTAAATATAGGATGTTTTGTAATTCTAGGATTAACATTTAATATTTTTGTAGACTAGCAAAGAGTCAAAAGAGAATGAAATAAATGTAGAATAGATTTATTAGACCTGTTCTATTACCTTAGGTAGCAAACAATAGTATTTGTTTCTCATACAATCTGAATGCTGCCAGCTCAGGGAATTATCCAGCTTTACTTTATAACATCTGCAGTTTTAATGAGTTCTTAAGAATTACCTCCTGCTACCCATTACCAAACGGTAAGGAAGGTAGGTTAGGTTAATTAAGGAAGATGAGAAAACTCATACGTGGCCATGATGCTTGCAAGACTTCCCAATAATGCAAGGTCTAGGACATTATCACAGGGGTTTCGAGGTGTTAAAGCAGAACACCCTCACCACCACTAACAAAACAGCAGAACAGTCACTAACAAAACAACAGCAGAGGGAATTTAGGATTAATCAGGGAACTCACTTTTTCTCCCTAAATTTGTAGGGAGATGTGGCAATACCTGTTCCAATATGTTTTTTTTTTTTTTTTTTTTTGAGACGGAGTTTCGCTCTTGTTACCCAGGCTGGAGTGCAATGGCTCGATCTCGGCTCACCGCAACCTCTGCCTCCTGGGTTCAAGCAATTCTCCTGCCTCAGCCTCCTGAGTAGCTGGGATTACAGGCACGCGCCATCATGCCCAGCTAATTTTTTGTATTTTTAGTAGAGACGGGGTTTCACCATGTTGACCAGGATGGTCTCGATCTCTCGACCTCGTGATCCACCGGCCTCGGCCTCCCAAAGTGCTGGGATTACAGGCTTGAGCCACCGCGCCCGGCCACCTGTTCCAATATGTTAATTTCCCTTCACATAGTTTTTTAGTTTGTTACCAGTCTCCTTATTAGTGGGAAAAGTTACATTTAGAAGAAATTTAACCAAACAAAAAATTACTTCATTTTTAGGTCAACTGATGTCTCTTTTAGGAAAAACACGAAAAAAAAGTTTTCATGAAATGTTTTATGAAAAAAATTAAAGGCTTTTTTTGGCATAGGGTCTTATGACTTATAAAGCATCTTCCCAGACGATCTCTTATTTAATAAAAATATAATTTATATCTACCCCTACCCTCCAAATTAGCTTTAGCAATGGACACATACATCAGTCACACATCTTGCAACTGAACTTTTTGTGCCTGTCATCTTCAAATACTGACTACTTACATGAGAACTGACATTAATCAAAGGGCCCAAAGGAGAAGAGGACAGTCTCAATCCTCAAGATCTTGGCCCAATAATAAAGGTAAAGACAATGTGGCTGGCGCCGTGGCTCATGCCTATAATCCCAGCACTTAAGAATGCCGAAGAAGACGGATCACGAGGTCAAGAAATCCAGACCATCCTGGCCAACATGCGAAACCCCTTCTCCACTGAAAATACAAAAATTAACCGGGCGTGGTGGTGCGCACCTGTAGTCCCAGCTACTCGGGAGGCTGAGGCAGGAGAATCGCTTGAACCCAGAGGCTGAGGTTGCGACAGAGCGAGACTCCGTCTCAAAAAAAAAAAAAAAAAAAAAAAAGGTAGACAATTTAAAACAAAAACATAATCCATAACATCATTCATTGAAAAGATTTGGTTCAAGTGCTGGTAGTTAGGACGTGCCAGGTACAGTGCTTAGGACAAACATCATTTCAGGAACCTTCAAAACCATCCTGAGGTTAAGTACTGTCGTTCTCATTTACAGACGAAGAAACTGAAGCCCTCGGCTGTTGTCATCGTGCCTGACACAGTGCCCAAACCCTACAGCGACTCCCACCCCAACCGTGTAAGAGGCCACATACATTTCGTCCTTAGTCCACGGCTATTTACAAACGACTGAAACCAGCAGATCGGTCCAATGGGCATCTACGCAGGTCACGGTACCGGGATGGAAAAATAACCATGAGCCTCTGGCCTCCAACGGCCGGGGTTCAGAGGATTCGGATCTGACAAATGAAAAACAGAAACAGCAGAGAGATAGGCCGTCTACGGGGTTCAAGGCCACAATCACCCTAAGCAGTTCAACTCGAAATCCTAGCTTCGAGGGCCCTGGGCCTACCCGACAGGCGACAACAACCCTCGGAGAGGGCAGAGGCGGCGGGACCCGCGCTGGGCTTTGACCCAGGGCTCCGCGGGGCAGGGGCAGAGGCGGGGTGAGCGGGCCCGGCCAGCAATGGAAATCCCCTACACGTGCGGGCCTCCGCTCCCACTTCTCCCCCGGGATCCCAGTGACGCCGCCGGGCTCCGTCGCCACCCGGGGGCCCGTGTCGATTCTCCCGCTCCTCCCCCACTCTCCTTCCACCTTAACTCCAGCTCTCCTCCGCCCGGCGGGGCAGGATCCGCGTCCTCGGAGGCTACGCTCGCCAGCCGGCTTCCCAGCCTTTCCCCGCGCTACCACTGAGAGGACGGCAAGCGCGGGCTAGAGAGGCTCAGCGCCACCACAGAGAGATGGCCGGGAGAAGCCTAGAGCGAACCCGAGACTGGCGGCCTCCGGGGGCGGAAGGGGCGGGGCAGCGTGCACCGGTTTGTGATTCAAGGTCAGGCAGGATTTGCTTCAGGTGCTGTCTTTCGCAGTCCTCTCGTAGGTTAGGGTTTGCGGAGGTCCTTGGGGGCCGTCTCTGACAAGGCACGGTTCCCACGGCGTTGGATCGCATTTGTAAATTTCTACACCTGTGCGTCATAGTAAACTTTTGCACCCAAATACCCCTGCCCGTGAAGGAGAGTGAGTTAAAAGGATCTGAAGAACGGACCCTTTGTTTAAGGTCTCACATTTTATTTCTTTCATTCAAACGAAATATCTTCCAAAATGCATCTTTCATTGTAAGCTATAAAAATAACTCTTCGAGTAAAATGGAGGTTCCAGGAAGTTGCTTGTAAATTTTCTTGGGACAGAAACAGTATCTTTTCTTTTTTTCATCTAGAATCCCGTAGAACTGAAAGTCAGGTAGATTGAACATTCTTGGCCTTTTAAATATCTTAAGGTCGGGATGTGGGGAAAAAAAACGGTGAAAAATGTGGAGCAGGCAAGCAAGACAAGCTCCGCTAAGGCCCAAGCTTGCTAGTAAGTCTCTGCATCTACTGTAGGCTGTTTTCTGCAGCGAGTCTGTGATCCTCCCACCACTTTCGTGCTGCTCCCAGACTAGGCAGGCGATGGATGCCTAGGAGGGAATGACAGAAAGGAAAAAACAATGGATAATATCTTCAGCTGTGTCTGCAGGAGGTTGCATTCTGTAATTCTTAGTTTATTTTGTGGTTGCTACCTGGTTAATGACTAGACAAAAGGAATAAAATTTATGTCTGCTTACAAGGAGCTCACAGACTAGTGAGAGCAGAATAAACAATCACAGTGTGGTGTGAAAAGTGTCATAACAGAAACACATGAATATAAACAGGATAAAATGAGAGGGGCTAAAGCAGGAGGGCTCTGGGAGGAGATTAACGCCTGCACGGGACTCCTGTGGGAAACGCATTCGATGCAATGGTGGCTTCCTGGTAAACTAGGCAAGCTATTCTAAAGGTAATGAAACAGAAGGCTCACAGATTACATTAAGATTATTAAATAATATAGCCTATTCAATTTAAGTATCCAGTGAAAAGGTGAAAGAGTTGTGGTAAGTAGACACACTTAGGATAAGGTGCAAGCAAGTGGAAGGACACCTTCACCTGAATCATGGATTAGGTTCGTCTATCCTATCTGCCACAACAGCCTTCTCGACTGATGGTATACTTAAGAGATGAGGTGTCAGCAAAGAGGTCCACAGGTGCAAAGTGCTTTGGGCCAATGGTACACACCTGCTTTGTTGGATAGACGCAGGGAAGTATGCCTGGTCACAGCCAGAGCTTCCTAGGTAAGTTGTTGAACAGATACAGGTTTTATTTGCATTTCCTTGGCAGAGCACATATATTACTATTCTAGGATGTGACCAGTGGGTGGCTGATTTAGGGGTGACAGTTAATAGCCCAGAGATGTCATGATTGCTCAAAGTTTAGTTTTTCCATCCCTTTTTGGCTATCAGTGACTCTCTATTCCTTCATATTGCTATTTAACTTTGGCATGTCTTATAGTTTACTAACTTACTATATATATTTTACATAATCCTGCCTATGTTTCACAAAGTACATGCTTACTCATATTCTATATTTAAAATATGCTAGGAGTTTTGCATTTATCTCATAAGCTACTAGCTTACTTACTGTCTATAGTTAACACCTCTCATGACTTTCATCCATCCCTGAAGAAACTGTAAAGCCTTTCAGTATGGCTAGAGTGGAAAGCTGAAAGGAGTGTAGATAACAAATAATGCCCTTTTTATGCCATGTTAGAGATACTGAATTTTAACCTGTGAAAACTGTAAAACTATCAGGAGTGTAGAGAATAGAAGAGAGGTGCAGTCCTAGGCAAGATAGCCAGGTGGAAACGCTTGCCCTAATGCAGATGATTAAGAAGATGGCCTCCGTCAACTAAGGCAGTGGTTCTTTGGAATGAAATGTGATTCCCTCCCACTCACCTACTTCCACTGGATTTGGTAATGTATAGACACATTGTTGTTGTACTAGTTTGGGTTGCTACTAGTATCTCGTAGGGTAAAGGACAGGGTAACCACTAAACATCTAACAATGCACATGACAGCCCCCTCCTCCAACAACAAAGAACTAACTGGCTCAAGATTTCAGTAGGGCCAAGATTGATAAACCCTAAATGAAGGACATTTAAAAGGCAGAGAGGATAGAAGTTAAGCAAGCAGAATTGGTCAGATTTTTTTTTTTTTCTTTTTTTTAACTGATTAGATGTAGAGGTTAGGAAGAAGTAATGAATTATTTCAGGTTTCTAGCTTGGATAACTGGGAAGTCCAAAGAAGGAATGGGCTAGCAAGACTAGAGATAAGAATTTAAGTATTGAATACATTAAGTTTTCTCAAACTTAGCAAGTGTACCTACAAATGAAAATAGGGAGTTGGAAGAAGGGAGCAGGATATGAGAAAGATCTGGCCTGGAAAATAAGAATTTTGGGAAATGTTAGTCTGTGACTGGTAGTTCTATCCTTGGAGGTAGACGGGGTAGGGAAGATGAGTTACCGGTAGAATATATAGGGTATGGTTAAGTGAGAAAGAATGAGGCTAAGGATTAATCTAAATTTCTGGACTCTCATTCTATTTTACTGAATCAGAATCTCTGTTCTCCAAGCCAGTCTACCAGATCATATTCTCTGCAGATAAGATTCAATAATATGCATTTTTGGCAAGGAACCCAGGTGATTTTTGCAGGACACTATGATTTTGGAACAACAGAATTAGGCCTCAGAAGAGAAGTCTAAGAAGGAGCAGACAGTGAGGTAGCAAGAAAACTAGGGAAGCATAGAGACCCACAAACCAAGAAAGGAGAGAGTTTAAAGCCAGACCCTGTCAGTGCAAGAGGTTGCTAGAAAGCAGTACTGGCTAATAGAAATAGAATGTGAGTCAATTGTACGTTTTCTAGTAGTGATATAAAAAGTAAATGGAAGCAGGTGAAATTAATTTTAGAGATACAGCTTGTTTAACCCCATCATTCAAACATTAGCATTTTAACATGTAATTAACATAAAAACTAATGAGGTATGTCACATTCTTTTACTCATATTATGTCTTGGAAACCTGTTGTGTGTTTTACACCTCCAGCCCCTCTCAATAAACTTAAAAGAAGTGTAGTCATTATTCGAACTACTGTCTTCTAACCTCACACCTGCCTTGTCCCTTCCTTCCTTATAACAATAGTTAAGAGTCAGTTGATATAAAGAAACGTAATATAGGGGATTTAACTGATGACTGGACAGAGGGATAGATTGAAACTAGCTACACTTCAAATACTCAGTAGCTGCGTGTGCCTCGTGGCTACCACGGTGGATAGCACAGCTGTAGAAGGTCAAGTAAGAAAAGAGCTCTTATCTTCCAACTCAGACTAAAATCAACTAGAAGGAAAATAAAAAGAACTAAATATATTCCTTAGCTGTACTAAAAAGATAGTCATGGATGGTGTGTAAGACCTGTTTCAGTGATGTGGTGATGGTAGAAGCCAGAATATACACAGTTAAAGAGGGAGAAGTTAGAGATGCTAACAGCTACCTGAGAAAACATTTTCAACAAGCTTTACTGTTAAGTATAAAGAGGCCTCCTTTTTTCACCTCTGAATATGAATTTTAAAAAGAACACAATCCAGTTTTTAATTTCGGTTTTAACAATTGCATTTGGAGCCGGGCGCGGTGGCTCAAGCCTGTAATCCCAGCACTTTGGGAGGCCGAGGCAGGTGGATCACGAGGTCGAAAGATCGAGACCATCCTGGTCAACATGGTGAAACCCCGTCTCTACTAAAAATACAAAAAATTAGCTGGGCATGGTGGCGCGTGCCTGTAATCCCAGCTACTCAGGAGGCTGAGGCAGGAGAATTGCCTGAACCCAGGAGGTGGAGGTTGCGGTGAGCCGAGATCGCGCCATTGCACTCCAGCCTGGGCAACAAGAGCAAAACTCCGTCTCAAAAAAAAAAAAAAAAAAAAAAAAATTACGTTTGGATTTCTGCTTCTACAAAATTACCCTATCATTAGAAACACCTGGAAAATTGGGCATACTATATGAAATAAATTGGGCACGGTGGCTCACATCCGTAGTCCCAGCTACTGGAGAAGCTGAGATGGGAGGATTACTTGGAAAAAATATATATATTTTATACGTTATATAAAATATGTAATATGTATATAAAATATAATTTATATAATATACAATATTTACATGTAATATGTATAATATATAATATGTACTATATAAAATATTTATATTTTAGATAGAATATGCATAAAATATATACATGTAATTATATAAATCATAAGTGTATATATACTTATATGTATTTAGGAAGGGGTCGTATATATACGTATACACATTTATGTATGTATATATGAAATCATTGTTTTCAGACATTAGACAACAGGCAGTGCAGGATTGTGATCCCTGAAAGAAGGGAAACAAATGAATTAAGTTCCATGATGACCCCATCTTACTATCTGGAGGCAGTGTCCAGAGCCTAGAACAGGGAGGGGAGCCCAAACAAAAACCAGGGATTTCACTGAATGGAGGCAACAGAGATGGGAATTTGGAGAGGCTGATGGGCACAGTATCCAAGAGGAGGACATGGCTGGCACACAAGAGGGTCTTGGACATCTATGGGAGTGTTCCTTTGTATTGAGTACTTCCCTTTGGGGCCCAATACTTACTTCTGCAATTGAAGGGTGAAACTCTATGAGGCTGGGGAAAAGACACCAAAAAGCAGTGGGCCAAACAATTTCTAGTACTTACACAGGGCTGGGAATAGTTTGTGTTCCCATAAGCTAGAGCAGATTGACAGATCTTGTAAGAAGCACTCATTTGTTTCTACCAAT